GAATTGTGTTTTGACGTTTGACCACACCCTAAAATAATTTTAATGTTTCTAAGTATTGTGAAAATACGAAAAATAAAATTCGAAATTCGAATTTCGGCTTGGAAAAAATGGTCAATTGACATAAGTTTAAAATTAAGATCTATTACGATTTAGAATTGTGTTTTGACGTTTGACCACACCCTAAAATAATTTTAATGTTTCTAAGTATTGTGAAAATACGAAAAATAAAATTCGAAAATCGAATTTCGGCTTGGAAAAAATGGTCAATTGACATAAGTTTAAAATTAAGATCTATTACGATTTAAAATTGTGTTTTGACGTTTGACCACCCCCTAAAATAATTTTAATGATTCCAAGTTTTTTGAAAATTCAAAAAATAAAATCCGAAAATCGAATTTCGGCTTGGAAAAAATGGTCAAAAGACGTAAGTTTAAAATTAAGATTTATTACGATTTAGAATTGTGTTTTGACGTTTGACCACACCCTAAAATAATTTTAATGTTTCTAAGTATTGTGAAAATACGAAAAATAAAATTCGAAATTCGAATTTCGGCTTGGAAAAAATGGTCAATTGACATAAGTTTAAAATTAAGATCTATTACGATTTAGAATTGTGTTTTGACGTTTGACCACACCCTAAAATAATTTTAATGTTTCTAAGTATTGTGAAAATACGAAAAATAAAATTCGAAATTCGAATTTCGGCTTGGAAAAAATGGTCAATTGACATAAGTTTAAAATTAAGATCTATTACGATTTAGAATTGTGTTTTGACGTTTGACCACACCCTAAAATAATTTTAATGTTTCTAAGTATTGTGAAAATACGAAAAATAAAATTCGAAAATCGAATTTCGGCTTGGAAAAAATGGTCAATTGACATAAGTTTAAAATTAAGATCTATTACGATTTAAAATTGTGTTTTGACGTTTGACCACCCCCTAAAATAATTTTAATGATTCCAAGTTTTTTGAAAATTCAAAAAATAAAATCCGAAAATCGAATTTCGGCTTGGAAAAGATGGTCAAAAGACGTAAGTTTAAAATTAAGATTTATTACGATTTAGAATTGTGTTTTGACGTTTGACCATACCCTAAAATAATTTTAATGTTTCTAAGTATTGTGAAAATACGAAAAATAAAATTCGAAATTCGAATTTCGGCTTGGAAAAAATGGTCAATTGACATAAGTTTAAAATTAAGATCTATTACGATTTAGAATTGTGTTTTGACGTTTGACCACACCCTAAAATAATTTTAATGTTTCTAAGTATTGTGAAAATACGAAAAATAAAATTCGAAATTCGAATTTCGGCTTGGAAAAAATGGTCAATTGACATAAGTTTAAAATTAAGATCTATTACGATTTAGAATTGTGTTTTGACGTTTGACCACACCCTAAAATAATTTTAATGTTTCTAAGTATTGTGAAAATACGAAAAATAAAATTCGAAAATCGAATTTCGGCTTGGAAAAAATGGTCAATTGACATAAGTTTAAAATTAAGATCTATTACGATTTAAAATTGTGTTTTGACGTTTGACCACCCCCTAAAATAATTTTAATGATTCCAAGTTTTTTGAAAATTCAAAAAATAAAATCCGAAAATCGAATTTCGGCTTGGAAAAGATGGTCAAAAGACGTAAGTTTAAAATTAAGATTTATTACGATTTAGAATTGTGTTTTGACGTTTGACCACACCCTAAAATAATTTTAATGTTTCTAAGTATTGTGAAAATACGAAAAATAAAATTCGAAATTGGAATTTCGGCTTGGAAAAAATGGTCAATTGACATAAGTTTAAAATTAAGATCTATTACGATTTAGAATTGTGTTTTGACGTTTGACCACACCCTAAAATAATTTTAATGTTTCTAAGTATTGTGAAAATACGAAAAATAAAATTCGAAAATCGAATTTCGGCTTGGAAAAAATGGTCAATTGACATAAGTTTAAAATTAAGATCTATTACGATTTAAAATTGTGTTTTGACGTTTGACCACCCCCTAAAATAATTTTAATGATTCCAAGTTTTTTGAAAATTCAAAAAATAAAATCCGAAAATCGAATTTCGGCTTGGAAAAAATGGTCAAAAGACGTAAGTTTAAAATTAAGATCTATTACGATTTAGAATTGTGTTTTGACGTTTGACCACCCCCCATTTTTTCCAAGTATAAATTCGATTTCCAATTTTTTTTTTTTTTTTTAGAAATTTCACCCTACTTGGGAACATTAAAATTATTTTAGGGGGTGGTCAAACGTCAAAACATAATTTTAAACGCTTATCAATATTTATTATGTCCCTATGTCTTTTGACTATTTTTTTGAACTAGAAATTGGATTGGGAAATATTTTCTTTGAATTTTTAACCCCTCTGGGGTCTTTCAAGATATTTTAGAGAGTGATCAAACGGCGATACATCATTATAAACGTTTTTGGGTTCTATTGTGTCTTTCTGACCATTGATCTATCTTTCAAAGTTGAAATGCACCCCAGAACACTTGTTTTTCATTAATTTACCACCTTTCAATTATTTTAGGGGGCGTTAAAAAAAATCTAAAGGGTGGTCAAACATGGTCAAAAATTGGTTAATCTTATGGTGCAGTTAGTTTTAAAAAATATTAACTTCGGGGGCCAACGGGCACTCGGTCATTAATAGTTTTTTAAATATTTAGGTTTCTAAGTGTGGTCAAAAAAAGTTAGTGGGTGGTCAAACATGGTCAATAGGAGGTCAAACGTATGCCGCTTTTAAAAACTAAAAATTTTGAATTTCGAGGGGCCAGCTTCACAGAGCTGTTTGGCAAGCTTGTTTGCAAGCGGCGCGCGAATTAAGTGTGTTATTTTGCAGTTTGAAGGATCTGTTGGCGTGTTGTTTTCTCTTTTTAGCTATATACATTCACCAAATCATCTCACTCGTGTTAGGCTCACTCATCATAATGCAAAATAGACACAGTATATTCAGGTATACTGTGTCACAGAGACACGATTAGCCAGAGGGCAATGATTGTTCCAAAAATATATATTAATACGTATGAAAATAAAAATATTAAAATTAAATTTATATTTTTATGTTATTTATGTAATATTAAAATAATGTGTTCTTATGAAATTCAGCTGGGTATTAACTGCACAAATGAACCAATGGAGAAACCGCCCCTGCCTATAAATATATATTCGAAAATCAGTGGATTTTATGAATATTTTACAGAATATCCACTAACTGAAATTTTATTTGCTCAATTTTAATTATTCTGTTTCATTCTATCTTCGCGGTTCTATAAATTTTAAATATTAAAATATTTTAGAATGTAGGTAGGTATACAAATAAATTCGATTCAAACTACATACGACAAAGCGACAAGCGACTGTTCAACGTATAGAAATAAAATTATTTTTATTTTTGTATCCACCGATAAAGTTGAAATGAAAGCAGATACCTATTCGGGTATAAATGTTTGATTTATTTTCCATTAGACCTGAGTGTAGTGTTACATCGGTTCGCGTTCAATGTATGATATGCCCTTGTTAGGGTAATTTTCTGAATTTATGGGTACGTGTGCAGAATTATGACCTATTAGTATGACAGAGCTTAAAAGATTCAATTAATGGTTGGTTATTAGGGTGCCCCATATGTTTTAACCTTGAATTTTTCATCAAGGGTACATTTGATAATTATACATTTGTTTTATTATAAAATAGTCATTAATTTTAATTAATATTCTGGATGAGCCACCGGTAATGCTTCGATAATATATGTAGATCCGAAACCATTTAATTTTTATTAATCTTTTGGTAATGTTTTAGAATTTCATTTTTTTTTTTTTTGGTATTTCACGAAAAGGAATATTATTCAAGTTATTTATAAATATCATTGTGTAGGGATTATCTTCCCATAAATTTCATGTATGTGTAATGCAAACGAATTAGCTCAAACTAAGTTTTGTGTTAATACGTTATCAATATAATTATCAGTTGATTAAATAGTCAAATATCTCCTGGCATTGACAACGGCGTTAATAGCATTACTCCATAATTATTATCGCTGAATAGTGGAAGGTTGATAACAAGTAAATCCATATCCCCAGTAACGCAGATCTGAAGTATTGGTTAATTTTATACATAAGAATAAATGGAGTATCCAATTTTCTAATGTGATAAATTCGGTAAAGAAGGAAAACGCGCACTTTTAATTATATCTTGCAGAATGTTCTCAAAAAATTGTCACCTCTTGTGGTAATACCCTTGATAATTTCATCTCTAGGTGAACATATTTTTTGATGATTATGAAATTTGAGTTCTATTAGAATTAAAGTACAATCCTACTAATATATAAATGCGAAAGTTTCTATGTATGAATGGATGTTTGTTGCTCAATCACGCCAGAATGGCTGAAAAGATCTGGATGAAATTTGGCACAGAGATAGATTATCCCGGAAAAATGTAATGTTCCCGTGGGATACATTTGTTTTTCATAGAGCCAAGGGATCAGACATTATTTTTGCATAGTGGTAGTGAAACATAAACTTTTGAATACAGCTATTGAACATAAATAATAACGTGAATCAGGGTTTTTGAAATTTCATATTTTAAGGAGAGAAAGGAAAGAAAGGGGAGAAAGTAGATAAAGGGGAGAAATGCGAGAAAGGGGAGAAAGGGAGAAATGAGAGAAATGAGAGAAATGAGAGAAATGCGAGAAATGAGAGAAATGAGAGAAATGAGAGAAATGAGAGAAATGAGAAAAAAAAATTAAAACCTTTATAGCCTTATTTTCTAGTTTTGCATTTTTTTGATAAAATTATTTTGTGGTCGTAGGAAAAATATTGTACACCACTTGTGTTAAAGTGATTTTTCACACTCGCGTGATTGTCGCACTCGGCTTATGCCTCGTGCGACAATATTTTCAGCCCGTTTAAAAAATGTCACTGTCCACACTCGTAATGGAATTACTATATTTTAGTTGTACGTTACTATTGTGTGTAGTTAAATATATTTTTTTTTTCAGATTTTCTTGAGCTCCACTTGTCAACTCTGAAATAATGACGGAATGAATGAAACTTTCATCTTCCTTCTGCTCATTTTACTAACTGCTCACGCCAAAAACCCACCGTCTCACCATGAGTTTTGCCAGAGCCGAGTTCTTTCTCACCCAACCATTCCAACCCGACTGAACATAGACGTGGAACGACTCGTCGAACATGTAAATAAAAAACTAGAAGAAAAACTGGAAAATTTCTCGCTAGTATCCAGAGATATCCTCCAACATTCGGGAATCTTAGGAGTTGCGTTTACTTCAAAAGGCCATCATCTTCTAGGGTTAAACGTTTCGAAGAGACTGAAAATTTTTCCAAATCGAACCACCGAAACGGAGATATTTTGGAACGCCTTGAATGGTACTAAAAGTGGTTGGAGTAGAGCTTTTAAAGACTGCGATTTTCTTCATACTTGGGTTTATTCGTATGTTACTAGTTCCTTAGAATCTACAGTTGGGATATTCGTACAGATTATTTTGAATCAGTGTGATGAAGAGCTTGCAGAAATATTTAATGGAACCCATAATTGTCATCAAGAAAGTACTGAGGTAAGTTTTTCTATAAAATTATTAATTCATATTCTTAAAGAAGAAAAACAGTCGTTAATTATTAACAATAATTTGTAAATTTACACAGTGTTAGAGACAATAATAAAGTGATAGAAATAGTCCTTTGTCAAAAGAGTATAGCATTTTTAGTTACAGTTTGCACGTGTCTTCTTATTTTAGGTGCACTTTGTTGTTATATAGCAGCATACACTATATTAAGGTGCAAATTCGTGAAACAGATTCTTTGTTAAAAAAATATATTATAACAAGAGGCACAGAAATTATTTATTGGATAAATGTTTTTAATCAATACCATTTTCTTCACAACTGGACTACCTGTCGTTATACCTAAATTAATAATAATTGCTTCTAAATCAGAAACATCTAATTGTTTGTATTTTTCCAAAAATGAATTTCTAGAAAAGATTTGACATCGACTGACCGAATAAAACTAGAGCTCGATTGTTTTGTGAAGAGCACACTTCGTCATAATGTGCAGAAACCAATTTGAGTTTGTAGGCGTGGTCAGACAAATTTAAATGTGATCGAAGCCGCCTGCCGCTCATCACCGCTCATACAAGTTGAATTCAGTAGCGTAGTGTTACTTATTTGTACTTGTTGCATTTATTTAGCTATTTTGAGTTTCTTGAGTTTTTTGCTTCGATTTTTGAGTTTCCTGAGATTTTGTGCTTCGATTTGTGTGTATATAAACTTTAATTTGTTATATTTTTGAATTCCTAATTAATTTTGTGTATATTTTGGTAAGTACATTTACAAAACTCATAGATTTTAATCTCAGAAGAAACCGAACATCCTGAAACATTTTAAATACCTTTTAAAACCAGATTTTTTGTAAACCATATTTTTCTTATCTTAAGGAGGTCCTTTCGCCACCAATGTTAAATAAAAAATATTAGATTATGACTAAAATTAATTTTTTTCTAATAGTTGAAGTCCTTATTTATCTAATAGTGAACTTTTAACTATACCTTACCGTGCAAATTTTTGAGAATTTTTTTTTTAAAAATGGGAGTATTTGTACAGTGTCTTATGAGAAAGTAAGACTTCAACAACAATTTTCGAATTATAATTAAGTATACTATTATTTATTGATTAGATGGAGTAGAAAAAAACTAAAAATAAGGTTTTTAAAATATTTAGGTTTTGTTTTTTACAATAAAATAGTAATAACTTTTTCTTATTGTCTTGAAGAAATATTTCTTCTAAAAACAGATTATTTTTTTAAGTGATTTAAAATTCCTAATAATTTTTGCTTAATTAAGCAATTATTTAATTTAAGAGTTTTTTGTAAGTTTAAGTATCATACAAAAATAATTATGCAAAATATACTTGCATTATAGATAAATTCTTTTTTACCTTTTTTCAGGAGATTATCATGATGAAATGAACTGGAATAATTTTTCCCAATGGGTTAGAAGTAGGGCTCGGAATTTTTCAGATTTTTGTATTCGAATACCCAAATTATTCACTATTCGAATATTTCTAAGTATTCGAATATTCGAGTATTCGACTATTCGACTATTCGACTATTCGACTATTCTACTATTCGACTATTCGACTATTCGAATATTCGTACATTCGAGTATTCAACTATTCGAATATTCGTGTATTCGAATATTCGAATATTCGAGTATTCGACTATTCGAGTATTCGAGTATTCGAGTATTCGAGTATTCGAGTATTCGAATATTCGAATATTCGAGTATTCGAATATTCGAGTATTCAAATATTCGAGTATTCGAATATTGGAATGTTCGAGTATTTGATTATTTAATTAATGTATAATTCATACCTGTTTGTTTTGATATGATGCTTAGTTCTTAATTGATTCCACAAATTACTGGTATTACTTCTGTGTATGACATTGTAAGTACATAATTTACACTACACACGATTTTCTTTTTTATCGAAGTAAAGCTAAATCTTACTGTGTTCTGAACTCATATTTAACACCTGTAGCGGGCAAACGTTGAGAGATATACACACACTAATATGAATAAAATAACTAGTAAGTTATAACTTAACAAACATAAACAAGCGTGTGAAAAGTGCGAATGTAAAACAACGTTGGGGTTCCCCTCATTTACCAAATAAAACGCCAGCGCTACAAGGAAATAAATAAATACAATGTTGCCGTAACGTAATAGTCCCGAATCCCAAGTCAGAATTTTGTTAGTCGTTTTTCCTCTACCTTCATTTTTAAGCAATAAATAAAAAAAGAAACATTTAAATTAGGTATATAAATAAATTCAAGCTATATATTGATATCGAAACCCCCTGTATATCAATTTTTTTAATAAATTTGCCCAGACTCTTAAAAGGGGGTGGTTCGGTTCTAAAAATTTACAATATAAAATTAAAAACCAAATTATAATTAAAAAAAAATTTGAATTTTTCTTCTTAGGGTCCCTGCTTTTCGTACTTCTACTGCTTCTCCTACTCCTGCTCGTTCTCTGTATTCCAATCTGCTACTTCTGTTATCTGCTTCACTTTCCGTGTACTTTCTTGGACTGCTTGTTTCCTCTGTCTGTCTCGATTCCTCTTACTGCTCTATCAGTTCTCTAAATTTTGAAATAAAATCTCTTTTTACCTTTTTATATGTTTTCGTGTATTATATCTTTTCCAAAGCAAATTCAAAATATACAATCCAAAAAGCTTTTTGACAATCTCCCCATTTCACTGACAATTCTCAAAATCAACAAAAACACCGATATTTTGATTTTCACTTTAATTTTGATTTCAAGACACTTCACCACCCCAGTATTGCTCAATTTAGATAATAAATTTGATGACGTCAGAAAATTTCTATATCAATATATATCCGAATATTTGAACATTTACAGTATTCCGATATTTAAGTATTCGAATAGTCGAATATTCGAATACCTAGTTCAGTTAGTCAAATATTCGAATATCGAGTATTCGAATACTGAGTATTCGAATATTCAACTATTCGAATATTCGACTAATCGACTATTCCACTATTCGAATATTCGACTAATCGACTATTCCACTATTCGAATAATTTCGATCTAAAAATATCGAATTTTGAGTATTCGAATTATCGAATTAACCGAATACATTTCCGAGCCCTAGTTAGAAGGCAGTTACTGCTAAATCTTCCTCCAAGGTCTGTACTTGTAATCGATAAAGTAAAATCTGAAAAATCGATTATAACGCAGACCAAAAAAGCAGATTTAATTAACTGGCTCGTTAAAAACAATACACCACATGATGCTAAAATGACCAAACCAGAATTGTACATTAATTGTACATTAATTGTACATTAATTGTACATTAATTGTAAATTAATTGTACATTAATTGTACATTAATTGTACATTAATTGTACATTAATTGTACATTAATTGTACATTAATTGTACATTAATTGTACATTAATTGTACATTAATTGTACATTAATTGTACATTAATTGTACATTAATTGTACATTAATTGTACATTAATTGTACATTAATTGTACATTAATTGTACATTAATTGTACATTAATTGTACATTAATTGTACATTAATTGTACATTAATTGTACATTAATTGTACATTAATTGTACATTAATTGTACATTAATTGTACATTAATTGTACATTAATTGTACATTAATAAAAGTTCACAGACCTCCACCGAAATTTCTTTTAGACGATCTTCTGGAAGAACATGGACAGAAAGTTCTACGATTACCTCCCGAATTAAATCCCATAGAAAAAAATATGGACCACAGTAAAAAATTGGGTGGGTCAACATAACACAACATTTAAGTTGGATAATGTTGAAAAGTTAGCAAGAGAAAAATTCCGAAGCATAACGCCGGAGGAATGGGCAAACGTGGTGGGCCATTCCGTGAAATATGAGGAAGCATATATTCAAAGAGAACACCTTATGCATGAATTTACAGATTTCCTCATATTTAGTGTAAACACGGGGTCATCCGATGAGTGGAAGATGATGAAGATGAAGATGATGAAAAAATTATACAAATTAAATTAAAATATATTATTTATATAAACTTTTAGTTGTTTTATTAATTTAAAGTTCATCAGCAATTTAACTAACGAATAGTTAAAATTTAACATTAACTTTTTAAAATATTTTATTAATGTACACACGCCACTGCTAAGATATCAGGTAACCCTACCGCAGCAGATTTCAGCCCAGCGCCATTAACTAAAGCTACACAAAGTTATGACGTACTGCGCGAACTGTGGCACAGCTATGACGAAATGTGCTCTTCACAAAAAAATCGAGCTCTACCACTTTGCGGAATTTATCTTCTTCAGGAATATTAAAATGTTACAAACTGGATATTATTTATTAGTTTTTATTTTTTTTTTTTCTAACTAGCATTTTCAATCTTATAACGATGATATAACAAGAAATTACAAAATCAACATTTTCTTGGGAATAGTTTCAAAATGTAAACAAAACTGTAGTTTTATCCTGATACATGTACTAACCGATCTATCTCAGAATATCTGGTACAATTTATGACTTTGTATTACATCCTGTATAAAAATAGAAATTCGATAGAGGTGATGAATAACATCGATATTTATTACTTGTCATATTATGTACACAACATTAAAATGGTTGAGCGAAATCCAATTATATTGTCGGGATTTATTATGTGTAAATATTGGATAAAGCTCTATGTATAGCCATCCCCATGTATACATTCAAACAAACAAGCTGATCAGTTATTAATGTAACAACCATACACTTGAATATCTTACGATAATAATATTGCATTAGTAGCGGTTACCCTACAAAGGAAATATATAATAATCTTATCACAGGATGGCGTCTAGGGCATCTACATTTATCAAATCATTTAAAATGAATACAAATTTAGTGACAAAGAAAAATAAGGTTTTTGGACGAACTTCTTTTTGGGTATTTAGTAGTTAAGCAGCTAGAATTTTATACTGTATGATTTAAATTGTTTTTACTCAAGCAGACAAAAGT